GCGTGCTGCTGCTCTTCCGTGACCACTCTCGGCCCAAATAGACGCTTCCTCGTCGCCGCCGCCGTCATTCCGCCCAGCCGCGATGCGTCCCGGGGCCGTGCCCGTTTCACCGTCGCTAAAACTTGTGTCGGGCGGCCGCCGCTGTCGCTGTGTAGTCAAGCCTGTTTTGTAGCGTGTAATCTGGTGCTCGAACTGTGCCAAAGCATTCGCGATTTTTTGTTTGTTAAGTTAAGCCTAGGGCACCCCCAGTGGCAGCTATCCCCGTGCAGCACCAGGTTGACTTGAGCAGCATCCGGCCTGTCGTAGTGAGTCAATGGACGAGTGCCTTAATGGGTGTGGGAGGAAACCGGGACACCCGGAGAAACCCTGCCCCCCCCCCCCCCCCCAACGCGCGCGAGGGCGCAACACTCTATCCCATACAGATGGAACTGTTGCGGGGTTAGGGGTTAGGCTCCACTTCGCTGTACCCGCCGTCTCCTGGCGGGCCAGGGCTATAGCACCTCCACCTCGAGACGTCCACGTGACAGGGAGTTTTGTGAGATCTGCGTCGCGATCCACCGAGCCCTCTCTCCCGCCGTGCTGGATCGCGGGCCGCGTGCGCCTTGAGCCGCCGCAGCCGCCACCGATTCAGGATCCACGCGTTTTGGGGTGGATTTTGTTTGAAAAATGTTTTGTCGCGTGACTGAAAGTTGTGTTTATTGTCAATCCTCCACAAAGCGACGCGCGTGGGGTGTGAGTGTTGATGTTGGCGAGCCGCGTGTGGCTTTGTAACCTCTCCGGATGATGAGACGCACAGGAAAGTAGGATGCATCCCCCCACCATCCCCTCCAAACTCCTGCTCGCGTGCCAATGAAGTTGTACAATTTAACGCGTGGTCGGCTTTTACGCCCAATGTCATCCGTAATACATGGGTTTTTTTTTTTTAGTGGGTTCGGAGATTAGATCACGTAAATGTATAAATGTGGTGGACTTATCCACAGACAGGTCGACTTCTCCACAAATCTGTCTGTCGCCTGATGAAGCCAGTTGCTGGCGAAACGTCGTACACTCAGATTGTAAATGTTGTGGTTTGGCTCTCCAACACACCGGTGGTGCTGTACTAGCGACGAATTGGCCAAGAAGATGGCCACGTTCTGTTTACGTGACAAACCTTACTAGTTGGCTGTGTCGGGTGGTGGCGGGTTTAACGACACATTTATATATTTACGCGATCTAACCAAAAAAACGGCATTATGAAAGTTATACAAATCTGGTCCGACACAAACAAAGACAAAGATCCCCCCGTGTAGCCTTAACAGACTGTTGGGGCAAGTGCTGTTACCGAGCACCTATGAAGGTCAACACCACGCCCGGCTGCCTTTGTCACCGCACCAGGTTACTCATTTGAGGCTGAGTCAACCTGGAGGAGGGCCCAGGACCGGTTCAGATAATCGTCACCGGGTGTTGGCCGTGAGTGGCAATCGAACTCGGGTCGCCGGGTTCGTAGCGCAGCGCGCTAACCACTACACTGCCGCTCCCCGAGACACACAAAGATAAACAAAGATCCCCCGTGTAGCCTTAACAGACTGTAGAGGGGCAAGTGCTGTTAGCGAGCACCTATGAAGGCCGGTAACGGTACACGAGGGGGTGGGTGGCCAGCACCACGCCCGACCGCCTTTGTCTCCCTAGTGGCAATGTTTACACACTGCACCAGGTACTCATTTGAGGCTGAGTCGACCTAGGGGAGGCCCGGGACCGGTTAAGATAATCGTCACTGGTGTTGGCCGTGAGCGGCAATCGAACTCGGGTCGCCGGGTTCATAGCGCAGCGCGCTAACCGCTACACTATCGCTCACACACACAGACACACACATACCGTATTGTAAGACGCAAACACAACTTACAGGTAGAGGTGCGTCCTACATTCCGGCTAACGCGGTGGCCACGTGGCCAACCGTTTCGAACGACAATGAGACGCGGCGGTTGTTGCACTTTTGATCGAATGTAAAGAAAAGTGAAACGGCGAATGACGGGATGACTCGGCAAGAAGTCGATGCCTTTATTAGTACGCTGATAAACAATCCGTTAACATCGTTACAGCGACGGGCGACGTGGCTCAGAGGGTGGCGCGCGTTCGCCGCTTGGCTGTAGAGGATTAAAAAAAAATAGCGGTTCGAAACGCGCGTCCGCCCCGGTTAATACTGCGGGTGTACTAACCTGAAATATATACTATATTACATACCGTGCCGCCTGCTTTCACAGCGGACGTTAAACAACTAAAAAGAGAGGCCGTGAGGTTCTTCAAAAGAAAGAGGAGGTCTCCACGCCTGCCGATGTGACGCAATCCAAATATGGGCGATTTTTTTTTAAAACGCACGCGCGCGTGTACACCCTCTAACGTAGCTTCAAAATAACTCGACTCGGAAAACACGGAGCAATATCGCCCCTACCCCGTAAAGGTAAAGGCGCATCCATGCAATAGCTTGCCCGTGCCACCGTTGGCGCTCGAATTTACGAAGTGTTTGCCACAGCGGTGACGCTGCTGCGTCGAAGCCGGACCCCAAAATGCGTGACCATTGTTACAATGCGCGCACGTTGAACTTCTTTCGCGCCGTACGGAGCCATCCACGCTAACCGGAGGAGGTAGAGAAAGGTCGCACGTGGCAGAAGAAGACGATGACGAGGCCGCGATGATGCGGGCGGTGATGAGAAGCAGACACTCACTACGTGGACACGTCTGTAGGATGGACCACAACAACAACAAGAACAGGGATATGAAAAGTAGTGGTGGTGGTGTTGTTCGGAAAAATTGTAAGGATCCGGAAAGGGAGGAAGACGTCACGGAGAATTTCTTGACGACGATGCCATGAAAGAGATTTTGCGCAAGGAGAGACGGGGGCGCACTGCTTGAGCACGTTGGCCACGACGAGACTGCGACAGGAAGAGTGGAAAGTACAAACGACGAGAAGGTTGCAGTGAGGAGTACGGAGGGCGTTCAGTGCCGGATAATTATCCGAGTAGCACAAGAAGCTACGTTTACTTTCAAAGGCCCCCCACTTTCAAGGGCCCCGCACTTTCAAGGGCCCCGCACTTTCAAGGGCCCCGCACTTTCAAGGGCCCCGCACTTTCAAGGGCCCCCCGCTTTCAAGGGCCACCCGCTCTCAAGGGCCCCGCGCTTTCAAGGGCCCCGCGCTCTCAAGGGCCCCCCACTTTCAAGGGCCCCGCACTTTCAAGGGCCCCGCACTTTCAAGGGCCCCGCACTTTCAAGGGCCCCGCACTTTCAAAGGCCCCCCGCTTTCAAGGGCCCCCCGCTCTCAAGGGCCCCGCGCTTTCAAGGGCCCCGCGCTCTCAAGGGCCCCCCACTTTCAAGGGCCTCGCACTTTCAAGGGCCTCGCACTTTCAAGGGCCCCCGCACTTTCAAGGGCCCCGCACTTTCAAGGGCCCCGCACTTTCAAGGGCCCCCCACTTTCAAGGGCCCCCCTCTTTCAAGGGCTCCCCACTTTCAAGGGGCCCGCACTTTCAAGGGCCTCGCGCTAAATGCTTTCAAGCTATCAATTCTGCACTTGCTCTATTACTATAGTACTATACCGCCTTCAACTTTTACGAACGACTGGGTGTTTAAGGTTCGCGATTTTGTCGTATTATCTGGCTGTATAGCAAATCAAAAAATATACAATTACTTTACTATGCAAGTTACAAAATTAGTGTTTTAATATTAAAGTGTTTTTTTTTTATTTAGGGCCCCTTTATAACATCAATATGCTATAGGCCCCGCACTAGCTTAGTCCGTGGTCACTATCTGCCCCCCACAGATCACGACGACGACGATGACGATTTGTTGCCACTGTCGGCTGATCCGCTAGAGGGCGCGCTGGACGGCAGGACCCCTCGCTGCTGACTCAAAACTAAAATTCACTGGGGGTCGATTTTTGAAATTGGGGGAGAGACGGATTGATTTTCTTGTTTCCGACCTGTTGTGTATGTTTTGCTTTTGTGTATGATGTGGAGCTTATTTCGCGCTGTACGTATGTGGGTTTTCTCCGAGGTGAGTCCGCTTCCTTCCCATGGGAGGTGAAATACTGCCTTACTGGGTGCCACGGTGGCTAGGAGATGTTAACTACCTCGCCTTGTGCGCAGGAGGTCGTGGGTTCGATCCCGACCCTGACGATGCCTGCTGCTGCTGTATATTTGGAGTTTGCGTGCCTCTCTCTCTCATCATCATCACGGTGGCTAGGAAATGTTAACTACCTCGCCTTGTACGCAGGAGGTCGTGGGTTCGACCCCGACCCTGACGATGCCTGCTGCTGCTGTATATTTGGAGTTTGCGTGCCTCTCTCTCTCTCTCCCCGTGGTCGCGTGGATTTTTCTCCGGGGCCTACGGTTTTTCCCCTTCTACATTTAGAGTCAACGTCGCGCGTTTAGATTAGTCGGCTGCCAAAGATGTCTCCACTCCGTTGAGCTATCGTTTGTGGCCGGGTCGCTTTTGAAAAAAGAGCTGCACGCCTCGGTGGGCCACGCCTGGTAAACAAAATTAGCTAAATAGTTGGTGACGCTGGGTGGACAGTGGTGTAACAATGAACACAGGACGGCCTAACGCGGCACCGACTCGACACGTTCCTATCGCAATAACCACTGCCTGGATGTATAACAGGCGACGTTTCGTGCAATGGTCCTTCTTCACGTATTTGTCCGAGCGTTCAAATCATCAGCCGTGGTCAATCCACTGCTGGATGAAGGCATAGTACGTGTATGTATGAATATATATGTGCGGGCGAACGGCACTTGTCCCACAAGTGTGTCGAGGCTTTCCCGGGGGATCTTTGTCTTTTTTTTAATTTACATGAATGTACATGAACTCGCGTGTGTGACTTGCGATGCACACGAATTGGGAGCCCGTTATTTATTTATCGGAAGGATCTGTCTCGATTCGATTATTTGAATCGGATGGTCTCAAGCCGCCACGCGCACGCGGAATCCACAAGCATCGGTACGATTCGATTAATCATTACACCCCCACCCCACTCCTCCCCACCCCTCCCCCACCACTTGCAGCTTGACGTGGGTTCAATACAAATGATGTTTAATGAGCATGAAGAAAATTTACTTTATTTAGAAATATATATTAAAGTTTATATGTGTGTGTGTGCATTCGTGTGTTATATACAACAGTAGAATGTATCCCGTTCGCCCTCAAGGACTGCCGAGTTAAGCGCTGTTAGCGAGCACCTATTAAGGTGCTGGTGCATTCGGGCAGCAAATACGCCCGGCCGCCTTTGTCTCTCCGGAGCCGAAGTTCTTTTCTGTTTTTTGACCCGTTTCAGCAGCCACACCGCACCAGGAGCACGGCCTTAGGGAGGAGGCCCTCCCCCCCCCCAACCCCCCCGGGAGGAAACCGGTTCGGATATTCGCCACTGATGTTGGCCGTGAGTCGTGAACTCGCGCGCGCATTTTTGACTGATTTCAGGCTGAGTTGATCTGCGGGCGGGACGGTCGCGCGCGTCCTCCTCTTCACTTGAACAGGATTCGGCGTCTTCTGTCACCCAGCAACAGCCTGTGGTGGAGTTGAAAGTCAACAAAATTGTCACGAATTGAACTTTCATTCGCTGTCCGCGTGGGGTGGGGGGAGGAGATCGCTGGCGCAGTGCGGTCAGAACCGAGTTCGAGTCCCGCTCGCGGCCACCAACACCCGCGAGGCGACTCAGCCTCGAGTTGAGTAGCCGGTGCGGTGCCGTAGCACAAGCAGCGCCACTGGGGAGACAAAGGCGGCCGGGCGTGGTGTTGGCCTACCCCCCACCCCCTCGCGTGTCGTCCCGGCCTCCTCGCTAACAGCACTTGGCCCAACAGTCCGTTAAAGATACCCGGGGCGGATCTTTGTCTTTTGTATGTACTGCATGTATAGTCTGAGTGTGTGTTGCATGTATAGTCTGAGTGTATGTACTGCATGTATAGTCTGAGTGTGTGTGTTGCATGTATAGTCTGAGTGTATGTGCTGCATGTATAGTCTGAGTGTGTGTGCTGCATGTATAATCTGAGTGTGTGTGTGTGTTGCATGTATAGTGTGTGTGTTGCATGTATAATGTGAGTGTGTGTGCTGCATGTATAGTCTGAGTGTGTGTGCTGCATGTATAGTCTGAGTGTGTGTGCTGCATGTATAATCTGAGTGTGTGTGCTGCATGTATAGTCTGAGTTGTATGTGCTGCATGTATAATCTGTGTGTGTTGCATGTATAATTTGTGTGTGTTGCATGTATAGTCTGTGTGTATGTCCTGCATGTATAATGTGAGTGTGTGTGCTGCATGTATAGTCTGAGTGTGTGTTGCATGTATAGTCTGAGTGTGTGTGTTGCACGTATAATGTGAGTGTGTGTGTTGCATGTATAATGTGAGTGTGTGTGCTGCATGTATAGTCTGAGTGTATGTACTGCATGTATAGTCTGAGTGTATGTACTGCATGTATAATATGAGTGTATGTACTGCATGTATAGTCTGAGTGTATGTGCTGCATGTATAATCTGAGTGTATGTGCTGCATGTATAATGTGAGTGTGTGTGCTGCATGTATAATATGAGTGTGTGCTACATGTATAATCTGAGTGTGTATGCTGCATGTATTATCTGAGTGTCTGTGTTGCATGTATAATCTGAGTGTGTGTGTTGCTGCATGTGTAGTCTGAGTGTGTGTACTGCATGTATAATATGAGTGTGTGCTACATGTATAGTCTGAGTGTGTGTGTTGCATGTATAGTCTGAGTGTGTGTTGCTGCATGTATAGTCTGAGTGTATGTGCTGCATGTATAATCTGAGTGTGTGTGCTGCATGTATAATCTGAGTGTGTGTGTGTGTTGCATGTATAGTGTGTGTGTTGCATGTATAATGTGAGTGTGTGTGCTGCATGTATAGTCTGAGTGTGTGCTGCATGTATAGTCTGAGTGTGTGTGCTGCATGTATAGTCTGAGTGTGTGTTGCTGCATGTATAGTCTGAGTGTATGTGCTGCATGTATAATCTGAGTGTGTGTGCTGCATGTATAGTCTGAGTGTGTGCTGCATGTATAGTCTGAGTGTGTGTGCTGCATGTATAGTCTGAGTGTATGTACTGCATGTAGTCTGAGTGTGTGTGCTGCATGTATAATCTGTGTGTGTTGCATGTATAATCTGTGTGTTGCATGTATAGTCTGTGTGTATGTCCTGCATGTATAATGTGAGTGTGTGTGCTGCATGTATAGTCTGAGTGTGTGTGCTGCATGTATAATCTGTGTGTGTTGCATGTATAATGTGAGTGTATGTACTGCATGTATAGTCTGAGTGTGTGTGTTGCATGTATAATGTGAGTGTGTGTGCTGCATGTATAGTCTGAGTGTGTGTTGCTGCATGTATAGTCTGAGTGTATGTGCTGCATGTATAATCTGAGTGTGTGTGCTGCATGTATAATCTGAGTGTGTGTGTGTGTTGCATGTATAGTGTGTGTGTTGCATGTATAATGTGAGTGTGTGTGCTGCATGTATAGTCTGAGTGTGTGCTGCATGTATAGTCTGAGTGTGTGTGCTGCATGTATAGTCTGAGTGTATGTACTGCATGTAGTCTGAGTGTGTGTGCTGCATGTATAATCTGTGTGTGTTGCATGTATAATCTGTGTGTTGCATGTATAGTCTGTGTGTATGTCCTGCATGTATAATGTGAGTGTGTGTGCTGCATGTATAGTCTGAGTGTGTGTGCTGCATGTATAATCTGTGTGTGTTGCATGTATAATGTGAGTGTATGTACTGCATGTATAGTCTGAGTGTGTGTGTTGCATGTATAATGTGAGTGTGTGTGCTGCATGTATAGTCTGTGTGTATGTGCTGCATGCATTATCTGAGTGTGTGTGCTGCATGTATAGTCTGTGTGTGTTGCATGTATAATCTCAGTGTGTGTGTTGACCGTATAATGTAAGTGTGTGTGCTGCATGTATAATCTGAGTGTATGTGCTGCATGTATAGTCTGAGTGTATGTGCTACATGTATAATCTGAGTGTGTGTGTTGCATGTATAGTCTGAGTGTGTGTGCTGCATGTATAATCTGAGTGTATGTGCTGCATGTATAGTCTGAGTGTATGTGCTGCATGTATAGTCTGAGTGTATGTGCTGCATGTATAGTCTGAGTGTATGTGCTGCATGTATAGTCTGAGTGTATGTACTGCATGTATAGTCTGAGTGTGTGTGTGCTACATGTATAATCTGAATGTGTGTTGCATGTATAATGTGAGTGTATGTGCTGCATGCATAGTCTGAGTGTGTGTGTTGCATGTATAATCTGAATGTGTGTTACATGTATAATCTGAGTGTGTGTGCTGCATGTATAATCTGAGTGTGTATGCTGCATGTATTATCTGAGTGTCTGTGTTGCATGTATAATCTGAGTGTGTGTGTTGCTGCATGTATAGTCTGAGTGTGTGTGCTGCATGTATAATGTGAGTGTGTGTGCTGCATGTATAATATGAGTGTGTGCTACATGTATAGTCTGAGTGTGTGTGTTGCATGTATAGTCTGTGTGTGTCTTGCTGCATGTATAGTCTGAGTGTGTGCTGCATGTATAATGTGAGTGTGTGTGCTGCATGTATAATGTGAGTGTGCGTGCTGCATGTATAATCTGTGTGTGTGCTGCATGTATAATATGAGTGTGTGTGCTACATGTATAGTCTGAGTGTGTGTGCTGTATGTATAGGCTGGGTGTGTGTGCTGCATGTATAATCTGTGTGTGTGTGCTGCATGTATAATGTGAGTGTGTGTGCTGTATGTATAATCTGGGTGTGTGTGCTGCATGTATAATCTGTGTGTATTGTTACGTCTCACCTCACGAGGGCGCCTATGAGGAGCCCTCCGAGGAAGGGCCCCAGCCAGTAGACCCAATGCGACTCCCACAGATTCTTCACGACCGCGGGGCCGAAGGCGCGCGCCGGGTTCATGCACGCGCCTGAGATGGAACCCCTGTGGAGGCACAGTGGGGGGCACGGTGGGGGGCACGGTGGGGGGCACGGTGGGGGGCAGGGGGGGGCAGGGGGGGGCAGCGGGGGTAATAGTGTCACGGGGGTGGAGGCGGCCGCACGGGGGACACTGGGCATGGGGTCATGGGGATATCGGTCACAGAGGTATGGGAGGCAAGGGGGGGGGGGGTCACAGCTACCACACACACCACACACACCACAGCTACCACACACACCACAGCTACCACACACACACCACAGCTACCACACACACTACACACACTACACACACCACAGCTACCACACACACCACACACACCACAGCTACTACACACACCACAGCTACCACACACACACCACACACCACACACACCACAGCTACCACACACACCACAGCTACCACACACACCACAGCTACCACACACACCACACACACCACAGCTACCACACACACCACAGCTACCACACACACCACAGCTACCGCACACAACAACAACCGCCATTCGCCACTAAGTGGTGGTGACGTCACCACGACGCTTGTGCCAGGCTATGTGCACCCTGAGGCCACGTGAAGTGTCGAACGCCCGCTGGCAGGAGGTCACGGGGCAGACCCAGGTGCCACGGGTCGACTGACTGAGATGACTGGCTGATGCATCACCTGTGCCCCCTACTGTGCCAATCTGCTGTGCTTTAGCCACCCGGCGCTCCGCTCGTTGTTGTGAGCGTCGCTCCTCCGCCCTCCGTTGTTGTTGGAGGGCGACTGCCTCCAACTGCCCAGTAGCGTCCTTCACGAGCCTCCTCCACAGAGGCCGATCTTGACACCGCTGGTACCAGTCATCGGCAAGTCCACTCAGCTCCACGTCCTCCTGTACCACATCACTCCATCTCTTCTCTAGCCCGTGCCGCGCCCGCTTAGCCCCCTCAATCCGGCCGAACAAAAGCTCTTTCGGCATGCGGTGGCTGGGCATGCGGGCTACATGACCCAGCCATCGCAGCCTTGCCCGCCGGAGGAGCTCACCGATGGGACCTTGCCCAGATCTTTCAAGGATTTGTGAGCTCCTCACACAATCCAGTCTGGTTAAACCCAGGATGGATCGTAGGCAGGCCAGCCTAAATGTTTCTAACCGGCGAAGATGTTCCATTAGGGGGGTCCACGTTTCGCAAGCGTAGAGAAGGGAGGGAATGACCGTGGCCGAGAAGACCTGAAGCTTAGTGTGGAGCGACAGACCAGGTTGCTTCCACACAGCGTTACGCAACCGATGAAAAGATATTGCCGCTCGACTGATTCAGAGTGAGACCTCTGCTGTTAAACCGGAGCCGGTCATGAGCACACTACCCAGGTATGGGAAACTCTCCACTCTCTCCACAACTGCCCCATCACCGCACACACCACAGCTACCACACACACATACCACAGCTACCACACACACCACAGCTACCACACACACCACAGCTACCACACACACTACAGCTACCACACACACCACACACACCACACACACCACAGCTACCACACACACACCACAGCTACCACACACACACCACAGCTACCACACACACACCACAGCTACCACACACACCACAGCTACCACACACACCACAGCTACCACACACACACCACAGCTACCACACACACACCACAGCTACCACACACACACCACAGCTACCACACACACCACAGCTACCACACACACCACAGCTACCACACACACCACAGCTACCACACACACACACCACAGCTACCACACACACACCACAGCTACCACACACACACCACAGCTACCACACACACACCACAGCTACCACACACACTACAGCTACCACACACACCACACACACCACACACACCACACACACCACAGCTACCACACACACCACAGTGGCGGCAGCGTCTCCACCGCCTTGCGCTCCGGGGCGGCCGAACCGCCCGCGATGCTCACCCGGCGAGGATGTCGACGGTGACGACGAATCCGATGCAGAAGGGCGCCAGGGGCGACGAGGAGCGCTCGTTGACGGCGCCCATGACGACGGCGAGTACGAGCAGCGCGCTCAGGAACGTCTCAGCGAGCACCGCGCGGCCCAGCGCCACCGCCTCAGGCGGCACGAAGGCGGCGCCCGACGACGCCGCGAACGCCTCCTCGCCCACCACGCCCTGCAGCCGGCAGCAGCAGCAGCAGGTGGAGCACCAGCAGCAGGAGGTGGAGCAGCAGCAGGTGGAGGTGGAGCAGCAGCAGCAGGAGGTGGAGCAGCAGCAGCAGGAGGTGGAGCAGCAGCAGAAGGTGGAGCAGCAGCAGCAGAAGGTGGAGCAGCAGCAGGAGGTGGAGCAGCAGCAGCAGCAGGAGGTGGAGCAGCGGCAGCAGCAGGTGGAGCAGCGGCAGTAGGAGGAGCAGCAGGAGGATCAGCAGCAGGGGGAGCAGCAGCAGCAGGAGGAACAGCGACAGCACCAGAAACAGCAGGAGAACATCGTCAGCAACAGTCGTGATCGTCGTTGTTATTATTGTTGTTGTTGGTGGTGCTGGTGGTAGAACTACCAGTGAGTGCCATCAGCATCAGCAGCGGCGGCAGAAGCAGCAGCAGCAGCAACATTGCAACTGTCCGTTGAAGGCGATGCGGGTGACCTTAGTGTTTGTGCGCGACCTCACCCTGGCCAGCAGGGCCCCCAGCATGCCACCCACGAGCTGGCTGACCCAGTAGGGGATGACGAGACGCAGGCTCACCCCACCGACCACCGCCACCCCCGCGGTCACCGCCGGGTTGAAGTGACCCCCGCTACGGAGGGGAGGAGGTGGGGGGGGACACACGGGGCAGGACTTTGAACACAACCTCTATGCACATCAGCAGCAGCATCATCATAACGGTGGGCGGCACGGTGGCTAGGAGATGTTAACTACCTCGCCTGGTATGCAGGAGGTCGTGGGTTCGATCCCGACCCTGACACCTGCTGCTGTATATTTGGAGTTTGCGTGTCTCTCTCTCTCATCATCATCACGGTGGCTATGAGATGTTAACAACCTCGCCTGGTATACAGGAGGTCGTGGGTTCGATCCTGACCCTGACGCCTGCTGCTGCTGCTGCTGTAGATTTGCGGTGTCTCTCTCCCCGTGGTCGCGTGAATTTTTCTCCGGGTCCTCCGGTTTTTTCCCTCCACGTTCCAAATCAATCGCGATGCAAGAGAGGTCATCGTCCTTGGGGACGGACTGCACAATGATGATGACAATGATGGTGATGATGATGGTGATGATGATGGTGATGAGTTGACCCACGAAGGCAGCCAGATGCTCGCGTAAGAGTCGATCAGTGCAAAGCGCGTCGACTCGTCTTGTGTATGAGCATCGAATTTTCACTGTGCTGTTATCATTACTATTATGATTCGTAATTATGATTCGTAATTAGTGTAAGGGGTTTCGGATCAGGAAGCTCGTCCTCGTGGATTTGTTTTCCGAGTCCTCCGCGGTTTTTTTTCCCTCCGCATTTTGAATCAACATCGCGCGTTTAGAGTATTTGTCTGCTGCTGTCAGTGTGCACGCGACGATGACGATGATGATGACAATGAGCCACTTCGTTGGGCTATCATTTGTGATGGCCAGGTCGCTTCTGAAAAAAAAGAGGCTTTACATAGCTCAGTGGAGCCTTACCAGGTCAAATACAAAATAGTTTAGTCCGAAAAACTGAAAATGCGAAATTGCCACGTGATTCCGATTTGTTGACCTAACGGCCGCGTCCACGCGCAAAGCGTCGTTGAGTTGCGTGCAACCGAATCGCTTCTCCGTGTACGTCCTTGTTGCAACCGGTTGCGAGTGGCAGCTCAACCGGTTGCTCACAGCAGAGGAGACATGCTCATCGACTCTCTGCTCGGCGGTCGAGAGTAACTGGCTGCTGTCAATGTGCACGTGACGATGACGATGATGATGACGATGATGATGAGCCACTTCGTTGGGCTATGATTGGTGATATCCAGGTCGCTTCGGAAAAAAAAAGGATCTACACAGCTCATCGGGCCCTTACCTGGTAAAATAAAAATAATAAAACCGTTGAAAAACATCTAAGATATTTTTCTTTGAACCTATCTACTGTGACTTTACCGAAAGACCCAAAGAATATGAATTCCTGCAGTCACGAAAGCTTTAAGTCAAGAAAATAAACATGGTTTTATAGTTTTTTTTGTAATAATCAGCAGCAACCACATCGTCGTAAATCGCAGTAACAGCCGCACCTCCTGCGTGCAGCATCAGCAGACAACCAAATCACGTCGGGTGGTGGAGGGTTATGCTAAACAACAAACTCGAAATAAACGAATTACAAGCAATTAATGTTGGCCGCGCCCGTTTAGCCCCCTCAATCCGGCCGAACAAAAGCTGTTTCGGCATGCGGTGGCTGGGGCATGCGGGCTACATGACCCAGCCATCGCAGCCTTGCCCGCCGGAGCAGCTCACCGATGGGACCTTGCCCAGATCTTTCAAGGATTTGTGAGCTCCTCACACAATCCAGTCTGGTTAAACCCAGGATGGATCGTAGGCAGGCCAGCGAAACGTGGGGGGTCCACGTTTCGCAAGCGTAGAGAAGGGAGGGAATGACCAGGTAGCTTCCACACAGCGTTACGCAACCGATGAAAAGATATTGTCGCTCGACTGATTCGGAGTGAGACCTTTGCTGTTAAACTGGAGCCGGTCCATAGCACACACACACGGACACACACACGCCGTGGCAAAGAACCCCCGTATAGCCTTAACAGACTGTTGGGGCAAGTGTGCTGCTACTACTTTTGCTACTATTATTGCTGCTGCTGCTACTGCTGTTGCTACTACTGCTGTTACTACTACTGCTGCTACTACTGCTGCTACTACTACTGCTACTACTGCTGCTGCTGCTACTACTGCTGCTACTGTTGCTACTACTGCCGCTACGACTGCTGCTGCTACTGCTGCTGTTACTACTACTACTGCTGCTGCTACTACTGCCGCTACTACTGCTGCTACTACTGCCGCTACTACTGCTGCTGCTACTACTACTGCTGCTACTACTACTGCTGCTGCTACTACTGCTGCTACTGTTGTTACTACTGCTGCTGCTACTACTACTGCTACTACTACTGCTACTACTGCTGCTGCTACTACTGCTGCTACTACTACTGCTACTACTGCTGCTGCTACTACTGCTGCTGCTGTTACTGCTACTACTGTTGCTGCTACTACTGCTGCTGCTGCTGCTACTACTACTGCTACTACTGCTGCTGCTACTACTACTGCTACTACTGCTGCTGCTACTACTGCTACTACTGCTGCTGCTACTGCTACCGCTACTACTGCTGCTACTGCTGCTACTACTACTGCTGCTACTGCTGCTGCTACTGCTACTACTGCTGCTACTACTGCTGCTGCTGGTGTCGCCTCTCACCTGAGCTTGCCGAGCACGGCGATACAGAGCCCCAGCGCGAGGCCGTGCGCGAGCGCCGGCTGCAGCGCGCCCGTGTCGCTCGGGTTGGTGATCACCGAGAGGCAGCCGATGAAGATGAAGAAGAAGGAGCCCACGAGCTCGGCCGCCACGGGCTGCGCGTACAGCTCCACCCACGTGGAAGACGACGCCGCCGCCGCCGACGCCGACTCGGCGCCCTCCTCGGCGTGGCAACCCCCGCGGGCGCAGTCGCCACGCGCGGCGGCGGCGGCGGCGGCGGCGGCGGCAGGGGTCATGCCCCCTTCCTCCTCGTCCCCGGCGCAGTACTTGGCACGGGTCGACATCTCGCTCAGCTCCGGTTTCTTGATGGACATCTTCGTCGAGTGTTGGAGGGGGAGCGACGCAAGGAGAGAGGGGATGGGATGAGAGTCGGTGGGGGGGGGGGGGGGGGGGGGCGGGCGGTCAAGATAGAGAGAGATAGAGAGAGGAGTCACGGGGCAAGGAGACAGGGAGAGATGTCACGGTCGAGGAGAGCGGGAGGTCGCGGGGAGAGAGAGAGAGAGAGGTCACGGAGAGGGAGAGAGAGGTCACGGGCAGAGATGGAGGTCGCGGGGAGAGAGGGGTCACGGAAGGGAGAGAGAGGTCACGGTCAGGGATGGAGGTCACGGAGAGAGAGGTCACGGTCAGGGATGGAGGTCACGGAGAGAGGTCACGGGCAGGGATGGAGGCGACAGACGGGAGAGAGAGGTCACGGTCAGGGATGGAGGTCACGGAGAGAGAGGTCACGGTCAGGGATGGAGGTCACGGAGAGAGAGGTCACGGGCAGGGATGGAGGTCGCGAGGAGAGAGGTCACGGGCAGGGATGGAGGTCGCGAGGAGAGAGGTCACGGGCAGGGATGGAGGTCGCGAGGAGAGAGGTCACGGGCAGGGATGGAGGTCGCGAGGAGAGAGGTCACGGGCAGGGATGGAGGTCACGGAGAGAGGTCACAGGCAGGGATGGAGGTCGCGGGGAGAGAGGTCACGGGCAGGGATGGAGGTCACGGAAGGCAGAGAGAGAGAGAGGTGAGGAGCAAAGTAGCGGACCGTGACGAGACGCGTGGGGTCGTCTTTATATCGGGGAGTTTTACGACTTCCCGCGGGGCGGATCTCCCCGCCTGTGCCCCCTCCGCCCCAATCCCAACCCTTGACTCGCCTGAGCTGAATCGCTGAGCACACACACACAGGTCGCGGGCTTGGGCAACACTGAGATGGTCGGTGACCTGCGACGGGACTCGAACTGGGGTAGGTGGGTAGGTAGGGGCGCGTTAGGGAGGCGTTGTGCATGGCGCCTCAACCACTAACACCAACACTACCTACCACTAACACCAACACTACCTACCACTAACACCAACACTACCAACCACTATCAATGACACTCGCTAACCCTATCACCATCACGAAGCACTGACAAAGACAAAGATCCCCCGTATAGCCTTAGCGGACTGTTGGGGCAAGTGCTGTCCGCGAGTAGCAGCTACGAAGGGCGGCACTGTGGCACACGAGGGGGTGGACCGCTCCGGGGAAGTATGGTTATCGCGTGAATGCGGTGGAAAGTTCCAGGGCAGTAACGGTGTTGGTGCGAGTGACAGAGCTGATGAATCAGGGTTAGGATTAGGGGTAGTTGTTAGTGACTTGGGTTATTGATTAGGGGTAGTTGTTAGTGATTTGTGTTATTGATTAGGGGTAGTTGTTAGTGACTTGGGTTTGGGATAGGGGTAGTTAGTGATTTGGGTTAGGGATAGGGGTAGTTGTTAGTGACTTGGGTCAGGGATAGGGATAGTTAGCAGTGATTTGGGTTAGGGATAGAGGTAGTTGTTAGTGACTTGGGTTAGGGATAGGGGTAGTAGTTAGTGATTTGGGTTAGGGATAGGGGTAGTTAGTAGTGATTTGGGTTAGGGATAGGGGTAGTTGTTAGTGATTTGGGTTAGGGATAGGGGTAGTTATTAGTGATTTGGGTTAGGGATTAGGGGTAGTTGTTAGTGATCAGGGTTATTGATTAGGGGTAGTTAGTAGTGATTTGGGTTGTGGTGGTTTTCCGGGTCGTGTAATGTGGGGAGCGGTGGCGTCGTGTTCTCGCGCGTTGCACTACGAACCTGGCAAACCCGAGTTTGATTCCCGCTCACGGCCGCCAAACACCGGTGACGCAAATCTGAACCACTTCTGGGTCCTCCGCCTAGGTCGACTCGGCCTTAAATGAGCACCCGGTGCGGTGTGCAAACATCGCCACTGGGGAGACAAAGGCGGCCGGGCGTGGTGCTGGACCACCGATCGCCCTCTGGTGTCGTGTTGGCCAACATAGGTGCTCGCTAACAGCACTTGCACCAAAAAAACGATCAAGGCGATACGAGGAATTTGTGTCTTTGTTGCGTGACTATATATACACCTGCACGTATGTGTGTGTACGTTGTTCTCGTCGCTACAATTTGGCGATATCAATGGAATCAATTATCACTGACTCGGCGACAATGGGCAGATTACAGCGACGGCCTTTAATTCAACTCGAAAAGCGTGCGACGTGTGTGCGTGTGCGTGCGCGTGCGTGCTATGTAGTGACAGTATTTATATCCCCCCACGGTGTAGCCGTGCAATGATGTGTCAGCTCGAGTGATAAAACAAAACCAAAAATCCGTGCGGGGTCACGCTCTGTCCGTGCGGGGTCACGCTCTGTCCACGCGGGGTCACGCTCTGTCCACGCGGGGTCACGCTCTGTCCGTGCGGGGTCACGCTCTGTCCGTGCGGGGTCACGCTCTGTCCGTGCGGGGTCACGCTCTGTCCGTGCGGGGTCACGCTCTGTCCACGCGGGGTCACGCTCTGTCCGTGCGGGGTCACGCTCTGTCCGTGCGGGGTCACGCTCTGTCCGTGCGGGGTCACGCTCGGTACGCGCCGGGAGTACCTGCGGCTGATGCGACCTTTCGCGACCTGCGTCCCGTTAGGGGTGAGCTGAGTTGAAGTGTTTAGAGCTTTGTGCGGCGGTTTTCAATTGGTAGGCGCGAGTTGATTCGAGAATCAGTTTGCGTTGTGTGTGTGTGTATGTGGGTTTGTGTGTGGGTGTGTGTGTGGGGAGCGGTGGTGCAGCGGTTAGCGCTACGCTGCGCTCCGAACCTGGCGACCCGGGTTCGATTCCCGCTCACGGCCAACATCAGGTTGACTCCGTACCTGTTGCGGCGTCTATAAAACACGGTGGGGGAGGAATCGATGTCTTTGGGTGTGGTGTGGCGGCTCACCTGTCTGTCTGTGGTGTGGTGGAGGGGTCCACGTTCCTCGTTCGCCAACGGGGCGGCCGGGAAGAACGGAGCTGGCGCACTCTCTCTGTCGTTCACTCTGTCGTTCACTCTGTCGTTCACTCTGTCGTTCACTCACTATCTCGTTCACTCTCTCTGTCGTTCACTCACTATCTCGTTCACTCTGTCGTTCACTCTGTCGTTCACTCGCTCTGTCGTTCACTCTGTCGTTCACTCACTCTGTTGTTCACTCTCTCTGTCGTTCACTCTCTCGTTCACTCTCTCGTTCACTCACTCTGTCGTTCACTTTCTGTCGTTCACTCGCTCTGTCGTTCACTCACTCTCTCGTTCACTCTCTCTCTCGTTCACTCACTCTGTTGTTCACTCTCTCTCTCGTTCACTCTCTGTCGTTCACTTGCTCTGTCGTTCACTCGCTCTGTCGTTCACTCTCTCGTTCACTCACTCTCTCTCGTTCACTCACTCTGTCGTTCACTCTCTCTCTCGGTCACTCTCTCTATCACTCTCTCTCTCTCGTTCACTCTCCCGTTCACGGCGTTGACTCGCACAAACCGACTTGCTTTTTCCACCGCAGCCCCCCACCCCAGCCCGCCCTTCTCTCTCCCCCTGCACGACCTCGCACGTCCACCCGTTCGTTCACTTCGACCGCCCTCGTCCACCCTCGCTCACTGTCACAGTCGCTCAGCCAGGCGATGTCTCCTTTCACTCTTTCAATTCGTTCCCTCGGGCAATCGATTATTCACCCCACACACTCACTCTCTCTCTCTCTATCTCTCCCCTGATTTCTATCTCGCAATCACTCTCATTCAGTTCCCTTGAACTCATTCACCCTGATTCAAGGTGTCCCAATCGCCCTCGTTTCGTTCAGTCGCATCCAGCCTCTCACTCGTATCGTTTTGTTATTCAATGCCTCGCCCGATCTCTCACATTCAAGCTTTGTCATGCGATCTCTCGAATTGACTCGAATTCCCTTTCTCAAATTCACACTCCCTCTCTCATTCAAGCCCTCCGTTACTCACTCACTCTCTCTCTCGGTTATTCACTTTGTAATATTCACGTTCTCTCGTATTCACTCTCTCTCGCGTCCACACTCTTTCTCGTATTCACTCTCTCTCTCGTCCACTCTCTCTGGCGTCCACTCTCTCTAGTATTCACTCTCTCTGGTATTCACTCTCTCTGGTATTCACTCTGTCTCTCTCTCTCGTCCACTCTCTCTCTCTCTCGCTCCGCAGGTGCCGCCTTGTGGCTGCCGCGTGTCACCGAGAGCGGCGAGGCCTCCTCCTTTATAATTCGGCGGCTGAGCGCGCGCGGCCCCCTCGCGGACTCATTAACTCGGCGTTGCGCACTCGTGACGCGCGCCTTTGGAAGAGGTCCCCGACATTATGAAGGGGGGGGGCTGGAGGTGGGGGGGGGGCGATGGGGGGGGGCTGAGAGGGGAGGGGGTGGAGGGGGATGAGTGGGGAGAGGGATGAGGATGGGGAAGTGGGGGTGAGGGAACAAGCGGGTGGCTGTGGTGAGATGGAGAAGCGAGGTAGTGAGGAGGTAGTGAGGAGGTAGCGAGGAGGTAGTGAGGAGGTAGTGAGGAGGTCGTGAGGAGGTAGTGAGGAGGTAGCAAGGAGGTAGTGAGGAGGTAGTGAGGAGGTAGTGAGTGAGCTGAGGGGAGTGGTGACGGTGGTGGTGGTGGTGCTGGTGGCGGGGGTGATAATGGTGGTGGTTCATTGGATGGTGGTGGTGGTTGAGTGGGTGGTGGTGGTGTTGTTGGTGGTGGTTGAGTAGGTGACGGTGGTGATATTGATGGTGGTTGAGTGGGTGGTGGTGGCTGAGTGGGTGGCGATGGTCGCTGAGTGGGGGTGGTGGTGGTGGCTGAGTGGGTGGTGGTGGTGACTGAGTGGGTGGTGGTGGTGACTGAGTTGGTGGTTGTGGTGGCTGAGTGGGTGGTGGTGGTGGTGGTGGTTCAACGTACGGTATCGCAAGTGGAGATGCTGGCGATGTTGTAGGTGGTGGAGTGAGAGGTGGAGAAATAAAACAGATCGAGGCGGTTTTGGTGGCAGCGATGGCCATCGGTTCTGGTGATGCGGAGTGGTGGCGCAGTGGTTAGCGCGCCGAACTACGAACCGGGCCATCCGAGTTCGGTCCGCGCTCGCAGACGACACACATCCGAACAGAATCTGGGCCTCCGCTAGGTCCACTCGGCCTTACAATTGAGCACCTGGTGCGATGCGTGAGCAGCAGCATTTGGAGAGAGAGAGACAAAGGCGGATGTGCGTTGATTCTCGCAACACACCCCACAAACCCCTCCCAGCTCGCCCTTAACCGGCGCTCGCGAGCGAGCAGCACTTGCCCTGAGCGCCTGTCGACGCCTTACTGGACGGGGGTGACATCTTTGTCTTTGCTATTTGGAGTCAGTGGCGTCCTTGACCTCAGCCCCCCCCCCCCCCCCCCCCCTGACCCCCCGCAGCCCCGCCCCCCCCGCAGCCCCCGCCCCCCCCGCAGCTCCCACCCCTGCCCCGTGTTATCGCGCTGACACTGTTGGCGCGGTGCCCTCTCGTGCCCACGAGGGTGAGGGGGTGGGGGTGAGGGGGGGGGGCAACTCGCCAACCCCCACCCCGAGCCCTCGCCGGCCACGGGAGCTGCGCTACCTGCGACGAGACGAGGACCATATTGTCTCCATTGTCTCCTGTCTCCATTGTCTCTATTGTCTCCATTGTCTCCTGTCTCTATTGTCTCTATTGTCTCCAGAGAGAGACGGAAGCACGGCGTGGTGGTTCGTGTCGGGTGTGTGTGTGGTGTGTGTGTGTCTCTGTGGTGTGTGTATGTGGGGTGTGTATGGTGTGTGTGTGATGTGTATGTGTGGTGTGTGTCTGTAGTGTGTATGGTGTATGTGTGTGTGGGGTTTATATGGTGTGTATGGTATATATGTGTGTGTGTGTTATGTGTGTGTGTGGGGTGTATATGGTGTGTGTGTATATGGTGTATGTAGTGTGTGTGTGTTATGTGTGTGTGTGGTGTGTGTATGGTGTATGTGTGTGTGGGGTGTATATGGTGTGTGTGTGTGTATATATATGGTGTATGTGTGTGTATGGTGTGTGTGTGGGGTGTGTGTGTGTGTGTGGTGTGTGTATGGTATATGTGTGTGTAGGTGTATGTGTGTGTGTATGGTGTATGTGTGTGTAGTGGGTTCTAGGGAGGCACACACATTTGAACTTGGAGGCAACACGTTTATTACACGGCCCTAACAGGGCTACTACTTCAACGTCCCAACAGGTTAACTAAACCCCAACAGGGTAACTACATAACTGGGTCAGTCATTAACGTCCTGCCTGACCCACGATGCCGAACGTGGCGACCGAAGATCGAAGAGACGTCGCCCGGCGGGTTGATTCCAGAAGACAGCCGCGATTGCTCTCGGGACTTCGCTTTTAAGCTCCCGAGCGCGTGGCCTCGCCAATGGGGAGACAAAGGCGGCCGGGCGTGGTGCTGGCCACCCACCCCCTCGTGTACCGTTCCGGCCTTCATAGGTGCTCGCTAACAGCACTTGCCCCTAGAGTCTGTTAAGGCTACACGGGGGCTCTTTGTCTTTTGGTATGCTGACCACACTTCCCCGCTTTTGAGTACCTGGTGACCTTAAAACTAAACTAAAACTATTTTTATTTCACCAGGTAAGGTCCAATGGCGGCCGCAAATGATAGCTCAACGAAGTGGCTTATCACGTGGAAATGTGCAGCAGACAAATACGGCAAACGCGTGTTCCCAAAATGTGGAACGACAACCCCAGAGGGCCCGGAGAAAAATCCACGCGACCACCGCGGGGTGAGAGACATGCAAACTCCAAATATACAGCAGCAGCAGCAGCAGGCGTCAGGGTCGGGATCGAACACACGACCTCCTGTATACCAGGCGAGGGAGTTGACATCTCCTAGCCACCGCGATTATAATGACAGAGAGAGAGACACGCAAACTCCAAATATACAGCAGCAGCAGGCGTCAGGGTCGGGATCGAACACACGACCTCCTGTATACCAGGCCAGGGAGTTGACATCTCCTAGCCACCGCGATTATGATGACAGAGAGAGACACGCAAACTCCAAACATGCAGCAGCAGGCGTCAGGGTCGGGGATCGAACCCACGACCTCCTGTGTACCAGGCGAAGGAGTTAACATCTCATAGCCACTGTGACCTAACGTCCTATGCAGGCTACACGTGGGTGGGGGGGTTCGTGATAGTGATGGTATGTGAGTCACGTGTTGACCGGTTGCGATTAATATTTGATATCTCAGCAAACACCGCGATGTTAGCTCTCGCATCACAGCGGTGACAATCCGTGTGCGCTCTCCCCATCACCACCACCACCACCATCAGCCCATCGTACATCCTCACTCCTCCATCAGCACCACCATCATCCCATCGTACATCCTCACTCCTCCATCAGCATCATCATCATCCCATCGCACATGCTCACTCCCCCATCAGCATCATCATCATCCCATCGCACATGCTCACTCCCCCATCAGCATCATCATCATCATAATCCCATCGCACATCCTCACTCCCGCATCAGCACCATCCGCCCATCCTCAACAGCCTCACTCCCCATCAACCCACCACCATTACCCATCACGTAAGCTCACTCCCCATCACACATCCCCCACCCCCATCACTCATCATAATCACCCTATCCACACGTCCTCATTCCCAATAACCCCCCCGCAGTCCCTCGCCCCCGCCTTCCCTGGAATTCATAAAACGAACTTGTCCACAACAATTAAATTCACCATTATCGAGTGAATGGCCATCAGGGAGAATCACGTCACTGGCGCGGGGAGTGGTGGGAAGGGGGGAGTTGGGGGGGGGAGAGGGGAGTGGGGGGGGATTGGTGGGGGGGGAGTTGGGGGGAGGGGTGAGTTGAGGGGGGAGTGGTGGGGGGATTGGTGGGGGGGGGGAGGAGCGGCACGCGGCTGTGCCTGCTGTTTTGCGGATCACGCAAAGATTCGAAGTTCCGAGACTTTGTGTTGCTCAGGAGTTGACTGAGATGGCTGGCAGATGCCACTCCACCCTGTGCTCGCTCCGCTGGGGGTTGTTGTTGTTGTTTTTATCGGCCAGTCGCTTCTGCTCGTTGTTGTGAGCGTTCGCGCACGCCCCTTGTTTTTTTTTATCCTAGATTCTTTCCGGATTCGAGAACAAACTTTTCGCCACCCCTGTAACTTAAAACAAAAGGTTTAGGGTGCGTCTTA